AAAAAAAATAAAATAACAATTTAAAATTAAATAAAACAAGGCGACAAATTCATTAAATCTTACATCACCGCAATTATCACATGTAATTGATCCTGCGTTCGTTTGTCGAGAAAAACCCTTGATGCAATGTTCTGCACTATGACCAGACTATAAAAATAAATAAAAATCAAAGAAACCTAGGCAATACATTCATCAAATCTTACTTCACCACAATTGGCACATGTATTCCATGATGAACTCATTCTTGATTTAAGGAGTTTTCTGATGCTGTTTTTATTTTATTTTATTTTCTTCTACTACTTCGCACACTTGTCTTCTGCGCCTACTTGTGTCACAAGTCTGTAACGAAGAAGAAAAAGATTTATAATTCGTTTATGAGAATTTTGTTCGTTTAATCAATGGCACAAAGAATCATATTTATTTCTTTAACTAAATTCATTGATCATAATAGAAGATTCTTAAAAAACATACAATTGTATTAACATTGATAGATACCAAGAAAACGAATACTTACAAGCAATCTTTAACTAAGGCTACACTACCAAAAAATAGATAACAGGTGATGATTTTTTAATTTATAATCAGTTTTAAATGAAAAACATCATTTTAATCGAAATAATTCAACTGATCAGAAAAATCAATGTCATCAAAAACTGTTCTTGTCTCTGTTAACTGATAGATGAAGTTATTTAGATAGATTGTGTCATTCTATTTCACATGGCTTTCCGTATGCCTTTTTTACTAGTAATGACAACTTCAATCAGGACTATCGATCACATATTCAGTGTCTGCAATTGGAGGTTTCTCGAAATTATAATATTTTCAGATAATTATAATATTTTATTTCCCAGAGCGTCGTTTTTTGTTGCTTATGGTTACTCTTGAATTTTAACTTTAATTTTCTCGCTACTCTAACCATGTTAGAAATCAAATATACTTACTTATGATGCAAATTTTGTCTTGTATGCTTGCAACCGATTTCACTACGTATTTATCGTTGAAAAAAAGTTGCTTGGTTTTTTCTCACATAGGTATGTTTATGTGAACCGTTGGAGCATGAA